CTTGATTTTGAGCCAAGTAATGTAAGTATGTGAAAGGTCGGTTTTCGGTCAACTAAAATGTTTACCGAGAAAGATGTCATGTTTAAACTTTTTCAGAAGATTACCAAGTGTGAGACTCCACGAAGTCTGCTTTTCTGCAATAATCTCTCTGTCAGTTGTTGAACAATCTCATTCTCTGACCTTGGCTTAGATAACATCTTACGTCACAAAAACACACCTCTTTCTGGTCCATCCACGAATCAGAAAGCTCTCAAATGAACCGGAAGTCGACCCATTTAAAATGTGGCAACTTCCCAGTTCATGTTAGAATTGAGAATGAATTCAGAATGGAAAAGAATTCAGAATGGGAGAATTCAGAATGGAAAAGAATTCAGGAGAATTCCAGAGGCTGAGGAGTTCTGAAGAATGAAAGGAGTTCAGAGTTCTTGGGTGCAAACGCGTTCAAGATGATTCAGAGACGTTTTGGAATTATAATCTCTGTTTGAAAACCACGTACGACTCTCTGAGGGTTTGGTAGTCCTCAACGGAGACGCTGAAAAAGGTCTGGAGGATTCTCTATCGAGCTGACCTACGTCAACCAGGTAACGGTCTCCTCTTCGACTAAAGTGTACCGGAGGCAAGCTGATATCTGATGGAGCGTGCAATTTCTGGTCAAACAGATTAATTCCCTCACATATTTCTCTGTAAGATAAATCTCCATTTCATCTTAAACTCTCCTCTTTCTCATAAAATCAGTACAGATATTTTAGAAATATCTGAAGCAAAGTCCTCGTTCACCGCCGAGTGATTCGAAGCTCATTTTCTGTGAAACTTGTCTGTTATTATTTTCATATTTTGCCAAATTAATGTAAATGTTTGATGTTAAACTTTGATTCTGAAAATAAATGACCGCATTGATTTGATGGGTCAAAGATAAATAACGTCTCTCGTTACATTTCTGTTAATTTCAATGCACGACCTTACACAGTCAGAAAGATGAGGAACTCGTGAAATTGTATGCATATATACGGGGATATATTGTCATACTATAACTAGTGGCACGTACCTACGTGACTACTACACATACACTAATGGGACACTCATCAGAGGCAATGAGGGGTTCAGTGTCTTGCCCAGGGACACTTCAGGATGTGACTGCTGTGGGGTTCGAACCCCCAACTCTTGCATTGGAGGATGACTGCTCTAACCATTCAGCCACAGCCGCTCCATGAATAAATTAACATAAATATCAGTGTGACCTTATCCCCTCATAAAACAAACTGATAGAGAAGGCCTAGTGATGTCATGACCTGTCTCAAGGGAGGCGAGCCATAAAAAAGTTGACAAAATAATTTAGTCCAACTTCTTTGCTCTCCTCCAAAGTATTTTTGCCACCTGTGTTGGGTACTTTTTCCATTTTCCCATTTCAACACTAAACCTTTTATTCATGCTCTGACTGAGCTGACTTCTAAAGTACACAATGTACACCTTTGATCTGTACTTTAAGCTTGGTTTGATTTGAATTTAATAAACCATTTAGTCAACTTTTACACGGGGCTGCGGTTGCTTGGTGGTCAGTGCAGTGGTCTTGTAATCCTGAGGTTGCAGGTTCCTGACCAGGTTGCGTCAGGCAGGGAATTCAGTGTAAAACAAATGGCCAAATATTTTATGTGAGTTTGCTCGTTGTGGCAACCCCTGATGAAGGGAGCAGCTGAAAGAAACTTACTTACTTACTTAGTCAACTTTTACATAAATTTTTCTATTTTGTTGTGGCTGTTTTAGTCAGGTCATAACGAGTGGGGGCACGTCCGGGATTCCTAATGCACATTGCCAGTATACTTTCATTTAAGACAGTATACTACAGTACAGTAGTCCCTCGCTACTTCACGGTTCAACTTTTGCGGACTCGCTCTTATCACAGTTTGTGAACATACAGTACATAATATTGTACTAAAAAACTGTACGGTGCAGTACTGTACATGACACACAATAGTCGACTTTACAGTAATATTATTGTACTCACATGGTTGGGAAAACGTTAATAACAAAAAAATAGTAATTTGGACAGGCGCCGCCATTTTGTAGTTTTCTTTCAATAAACCTATACTGTAATTGCCACTCATAAGGACTACATTGCCCAGAAGACAATCCTGTGCTGTAGTGCCTAAGGCCGCTGCTTTCTGCCGAACAGAAAGTGAAGTCATGACTGCCGAACCAGCTTTTCAAATGCAAGATTTTAACCATGTCACTTGGACAAGTTTCTTTAAGAAAATTCAACTTTACAAGCGTAAGATTCACAAGAAAGAAATCAAGTCAGGACATGTCTCTTTAAGAAATAGAGCATTGTGCTATGTAACCTGCACAGAACTGGACCCCCAGACTCAGCGGTGAACCCGAGATATCCTAGCCCATGAGGATCTCCAAGTCGGAGCGGAACCGAGTTGCTGCTATTCTGGAGAGCCTGGTAAGCAAAATTAATAGCTACATATGTACGCTACGTATGTTGTTAAAATAAGATAAGATAGAGCTTTATTGATCCCACAGGAAATGATGTAGGTTTAAGAGTTTAGAACATTGCAAGAGTGTGGGAAGGGTTTCTAAAGCCTTAAAAAATATATAACTACTAAAATAAATACAATGTCTATACTTCGCAGATTTTCACTTCTTGCGAGGGTGTGTGTGTGTCTAGAACGTAACACCCTCAATAAACGAGAAACCACTGTACTTGCGCAAAGCTAACAGCCCAGGAACAACTCACTTTCCCTCAGAAGGCGAGGTAGTATGTAGTATGTATGCAGTTATACAAACCGGATTCCAAAAAAGTTGGGACACTAAACAAATTGTGAATAAAAACTGAATGCAATGATGTAGAGATGGCAAATGTCAATATTTTATTCGTAATATAACATAGATGACAGATCAAAAGTTTAATCTGAGTAAATGTAACATTAATTAACACTAATTAGGTCAATTGACAACATGATTGGGTATAAAAAGAGCTTCTCAGAGTGTCAGTGTCTCTCAGAAGCCAAAATGGTAAGAGGATCACCAATTCCACCATTGTTGCGCAGAAAGATAGTGCAGCAATACCAGAATGGTGTTACCCAGCGTAAAATAGCAAAGACTTTTAAGTTATCATCATCAACCGTGCATAACATCATCAAAAGATTCAGAGAATCTGGAACTATCGCTATGCATAAGGGTCAAGGCCGTAAAACTCTACAGGATGCTCGTGATCTCGGGCCCTTAAGGCTCCAGTATACTGCCGCGTACGTCCGTTCACGCGTACGTATGCGTATACAGTACACAGAGGGTTCAGACATGATACTCCAGCATACACCCCGATGAGTTGCAGAGCAGATTCACAGACAAGGGGCGTTTACCTTCGGGACAAATTGAAGTTGCCGATTGGTCATTTGCTGACACGCCTACTGGATTGATTGACAGGTCGGAAAAAATAAAAAAAGCGAGCGCTGGCAGTCTCCGCCGCAGCGGTGTTCTGTGTTTATATGTTGTTAATAAAAAGATCTAAAAAAACCCAAAAAACAGAGAGCGCTGGCTCTACAGCCCACACATCAGACCAGCCCACCAGGAAATCTCCAGATCCTCCCACAGCCACGCTGGATCTGAGTTTAATTAGCTTGTGACAAATTCCTCCATTTCTCACCATTTCAGTCATGGCATCAACGGAGGAGGAAGAGATCACTGCCTCTTGGCAAAAAACAAAAGAAAAGCCAAGATCAGGGATGAAGAAGGGGAATTTAATACATTGATGTCACATACAAAACAGTCCGTCACTGGGCAGTTTATTGTGCGACACAGCATACGCGTATGCGGTCGTAAAAATTTGAGCTTTGCACGGAGGGTACGCTGGGGGGTACGCACGTACCTCTGCGTATGGATGTACATGGCAGTATACTGGGGGGCTTTAAACGTCACTGCACCTCAAACAGGAATGCCACTGTCAAGGAAATAACAGAATGGGCTCAGGAATACTTCTAGAAAGCATTGTCAGTGAACACAATCCACCGTGCCATCCGCCGTTGCCTGCTGAAGCTCTACAGTGCAAAGAGGAAGCCATTTCTAAGCAAGCTCCACAAGCTCAGACGTTTGCACTGGGCCAGGGGACATTTAAAATGGAGTGTGGCAAAATGGAAGACTGTTCTGTGGTCAGATGAGTCACGATTTGAAGTTCTTTATGGAACACTGGGACGCCATGTCATCCGGACCAGAGAGGACAAGGATAGCCCAAGTTGTTATCAACGCTCCGTTCAGAAGCCTGCATCACTGATGGTATGGGGTTGCATGAGCGCTTGTGGCATGGGCAGCTTGCATGTCTGGAAAGGCACCATTAATGCAGAGAACTATGTTCAGGTTCTAGAACAACATATGCTCCCATCTAGACGTCATCTCTTTCAGGGAAGACCCTGCATTCTTCAGCACGATAATGCCAGTCCACATTCTGCAGCAATCACAACATCATGGCTACGTAGGAGAAGGATCCAGGTACTGAAATGGCCAGCCTGCAGTCCAGATCTTTCACCTATAGAGAACATTTGGCGCATCATAAAGAGGAAGGTGTGACAAAGAAGGCCCAAGACGATTGAGCAGTTAGAGGCCTGTATTAGACATGAATGGGAGAGCATTCCTATTTCTAAACTTGAGAAACTGGTCTCCTCTGTCCCCAGACGTCTGTTGAGTGTTGTAAGAAGAAGGGGGGGATGCCACACAGTGGTAAAAATGGACTTGTCCCAACTTTTTTGGGATTTGTTGACGCCATGAAATTTTGAAGCAACAGATTTTCCCCTTAAAATGATACATTCTATCAGTTTAAACTTTTGATCTGTGATTTGTGTTCTATTCTGAATAAAATATTAGATGTTGGCACCTCCACATCATTGCATTCAGTTTTTATTCACAATTTGTTTAGTGTCCCAACTTTTTTGGAATCCGGGTTGTATGTACAGACACTATGTTAATAATTTATGGTGATAAAACAGAGAGGAAGGTGATGTTTTTACCAGGTGACCAGATTATCTGTCTGAGGTTGGTAACACTGCCGATCATCAGGGTTCAGGATTCTGGGAGTGAGTTTCATTGAAGCTTCCACCGACACGACAGCGCGAGCCCTGCACACACACACACACACACACACACACCCAAAGCAAAGTCATGAACAAAATGTGATGTGAAAAATGTCTAATCCTTTCTAGGTGGAAGCTCAGCTGCAACAAACTTGCACTTCTATTTTTGAAACCTGTACCTGTAGACGGAGACCTCGCCTGTGCCAAACGCGCCGACAATCAGATCTGCACAGAGAGACGGGGAGAGCAATGAGAGAAGGGAAATAAGAGCGCTTCAAAGAATGCAACAGATGGGACTGATTTCAAGGTCGCCAGCAATCTTCTTCACACAGACATAGAGCATGTAATAAACACACACACATTTACACTGTAATGCAAAGTTCACAGTAAGATATCATCATGCTTTTATTTTTCACCATTTTTAAACTAAACGTTTTAACTTACACAATAATCATGTACTTGTATCTTTTTCTATGCATGCATGTAGTGCGACAGGGCCTCCATGCTGCATGCCAGGGCCTTCAGAAAGTTCACAGTGCTCCAATCACTGTTCACTAAACATCATTTCCCAACAGTCTTCGAGAACATTAACTCGTAAGCAGCGCCAGCTCTCATTTATATGTGATTTTTATTTGTTTTCATGGGGCTTGTGATGAACACACGCTTTTAATTGGCTCCAAAAGTTTAAAATAGAGATGGTATTTAATGGTTGCGGTCAGGGGACACATACCGATAAAAGCCACACACACAAAGAAATACACACTCACACAGGCACTGATTGAAACAATGTGAAACTGAAAGAAAAGAAGCACTTAATGGATACAGGCCACCACTGCTAGATGCAACAGGAAGTTAAGCTGTGTGATCCTGAGAAAGACACAGTAACCTCAGAAAAGGTTAGCCGTGGTTCGATCCACTGGCTCCTGTCAATAATAATTATTTATCATGTATCAAATTAGAGCATTCTATAATTTCCCTGTGATTTGATCATAAACAAATTTAATATTAGCTTGAAATAAGGTGTTAACCGTGTAAGCGTTAGTCTACACTTGTAGGTTTTGCCTGTCTTTCGTGTCTTTCCTCTTCTGTGTATTTTCAAAAAGAGACTAATTGAATGTAAGAGAGGCACATCTGTTTCTGCCTTTGGCTGCAGTCACTGTGTTCCCCTGAAACCACAACATGAAACGTTTAGGCCCTGTCCCCTTTTCTCTGAGGTGCACTGTGTTCCTGTGTAAGTGTGTTCTTCGGCCTGTGTTTCAGTCCCGTAATGAAAAAGAACCTTTAGGATGTGTGTGTGTGTGTTTTGAAGAAAGAGTGAAAGTAGAGGAAGACGGAGGTGGGAAGGACAGAATGAAAGTAAGGGTACAGGATTGGGAGTGCTGGCTCCAAACCACAGTCTGTGAAAGTAATCAGGTGTGTTTTTAGGCTGAGAATGATCTCTAAATTCCTCAGTCCATCCCACTGTTGTAACACAGAAACTTTACTCCCCTCCTGCCACATACACGTCAGTTTGACCGATGTCTTTGCTGCTTAATCTAATGCTCTTGTTTGCTCACTTAATGCGGCATGACATGAGGCTGATTCGAGCAGAAGGGCAACTTTGGGGTTAAGCGTACGTGAGGGGGTAAGTGGCTGCATCAGGGGCTAAATCAAATAACATCTCAATTTCACATTTGTGTAAACCCATTTTAGTAGGCATAGGAAAGTTAGCCCATCACGTTTGATTTGAGGTGAAATAATAATAATAACTAGAGAAATTGCATTTCTTGCAAAAATGTCGTGTGAATGCTTATTACTGAAGAACTTGCTGAAAAACAGCTGAAATTGGCTTAAAATATGCTGAAATGTAGCTGAAATGAAAGAACAAGCCTAAGTTAGCAGAATAAAGCAGAAAGAACACATATTTGCTGCATTTAAAATAAGTAAATTAGCTAAAAAAAAGCTGAAATGAGCAAGAAATAGCTGAAACAGCAGCACGAAGCTTACATTTCCAGAAGGAAGGGGAGAGAGCAATTGTTCCCAATTAGGCTGAAATAAGCAGAAGTGTGCTCAAAAAAGTGGAAATTATCTGAAAAAAAAAGAAGCAGAAATTTGCAAAAATAAAATAAACAACCCCAAAAACTGCTGAAGAGTAGCTAAAAAAGCAGAAAGAAGCTTAAATTCCCAAAAGCAAATGCAGAGAGTGCATTTTTGCTGAATTAGGCTGAAAAAAATTTAAATGAGTGAAAAAAAGTGGAATTAGTTGAAAAAGCTAAAATTAGCATAAAAGCAGATAAATAGTATAATAGCTGAAACACACAGAAATTAGCTGAAAAGAGCACAACAAGCTGAAATTAGCAGAAATAAGTTAGAAGAAGCACAAAATGTTATAGTTAGCTGAAATAATCTGAAAGGAGCACAAAACAGCTGAAAAACAGCTGAAATTAGCTGAAAGTGGCTGAAAACATGTTTAAATTTGCACAAGGAAGCTGAGAGAAGCTGAACCAGAACAAAATGTGAAGGGAGCAGTAAAAGGTGGCAAACAGATCTAAAGAGTTGAAGGGTGTAAAATGAGCTCAATTCATTTTCAATAAAAGGCTAAATGTTTCAAAAAGCTAAAGGTGCACCAATACCAAAAGTCAAAGAAGGATTGTCCTTAAAGAGCTGAACGTTTTGATATATGATTTGATGAAATAGCACAAAAATTGTGAAACGAGAAAGATTCCAAATTGCGTACGGAATAGAAATAGAAACTGCCAATAATAGATATAAACAGGATCACAATAGTGTGAATACTTCATAAATATTCACACTATAAATAAAAAAAATGCAACTCATTTCCAAAGAACTCATTCAACCTTTATTTAGACAGGTAAATCCCATTGAGCCTCGAGGACTCATTTACAAGAGAGACCTAAACTGTGACACCTTCAAGGCACTAATGGCTGGTGGTGTTCATCCTGGGCCAAGAAAACAACATCCAGCCAGAGTTTAGACAGACTGTCAAGCTGTCAACTACGACTGCCTGTTCGGCTGTTTGATGAAGAAAGGTCAAAGGTGACTGGTAGTGGAAAAGGAAGTGGGGTTAGGAGACAAATGGAGGATTCCTTAACTCTTGGATGCATTCAAGTCATTAAATGTCACGGAGACACATCTTTTTCAAGCTAAGGAGCAAAAAGGAAACTGCGTGATCGAATGAGAAGACAGTCTCACAAGGAAGTTTAATTTAGAAGTACTTTGTATTTTGAGCCTAAGTGCATAGACTATATGCTAATGAGGGACCATATAGTATTATATCATTGCAACAAGTACAAAAACTCTTAAAAATACATTGTGTAAGCGTTTTCCTTTAGTTAGTTTCATTTTTTAATTCTAAAAAAAACATATATATATATAAGTTGGAACTGAATTTTAATTTTTTTCTTCTTTCGGCTACTCCCTTCCTCAGGGGTCACCACAGCGAACTAAGTCACACGGAGACATGGCAATTGTTTTTACACTGGATGCCCTTCCTGACACAACCACAGACCATCGAGTTACCACAGCCCTCTGTGTGGAGCAGAGAGCTGATATCTAGGGTGCCCAGGGGAGCAGATGGTGGGGGTTAAGGGCCTTGCTCAAGGGCCCAGAGTGGGGTAAATGAGGGTGGAAGTTGGAACTGAATAACAGGTAATAAATTTTACACCCCCTAAACTAACCAAATGGCTCTCCTCAGCACCACACACGTCCAAATCACCAACACCGACATGTCTGTGTGTCTGTTAGCCTTTCAACAAACTGATAAGACTGGCAGCTAAAACCCTGCTAGTTTTTGACCTTTGACCTGTTAACTGAAACCTCAGAGTTCCTGAGACAGTGCGACCTTTTCAACATACAAACCACGCTGGCCTCATTGCACACAACGTTACTCCAGCGCTAAATCTGTGTCGTAAGGCTTTTGTGCAATTTTTCAAGAGAAAAGTTGAAGAAATAAAGTCCATTAAAACTAAAAGTAGAGCCAGTCTTCATCTTTTTTCCTTTCTGCAGTAGATTAATGACATTTACTGTTAACGGGAGAATAGTCTGGCTCTTGCAGGCCTCCCAGAAGCCTTTGCAGCCCTCTTGATTCGTTGATCAAACGGTCACGACTCATTTGAACGTGTGACTTCACTAGTCTGCACACGACACACTGTGTGTGTGTCTCACTTCCATCAACCAGCTTTCTAATGATAGAAGGCACGTGAACTGCACGGTGGTGTGTGCAAAGCTGTGTATATGTTGGCTGAAGGCTCCACCACCCGTGAGTTTCTGCCCTGCGTCGTCCTCTCAGAGCGCCCCCACCAGCTGAAACTCTGAACCTGTAATCCCTGTATTTATCGCACCGTGTTATTTCTGATTTGCATCGGATCCGCTCAGGTCCGACTGCGACCCGGAGGCCTGGCACGTGCTCAACACACACCGTCGAGCCGCCTGTGAAACTGATCACAAGCCAGCGCATGTGAACTTCTGTGTACTTGTGTCCCCCCTCCCGCCTCAATATCCTGTTTGTGGAATGAAGAAATCTGTTATTGTAGCCAAACGAGAAGGAGAACGAGGAAGGAGAGTGGGGGCAAAGAAAAGGAAAAGGTAAAAAAAAAAAAATAATAATAATTCTTCATTTCAGCCTCAACTGTGGAAGCAAGGAGCCAAAGAAACGCTGAAAGCAGAGCGGCTCCAAATTAGGTGGAAAATAAGGCAGTAAAACTAAGATTTTACAGACCTGCTTTGTTTCAAATACCATTTTCTGCGAGTCTAAAACTCACACAAAATAAATAACTTTAAAACTGATCTCCCTTTTAGATCGTTTTATTTTCCCGGTGTAACTTTTCATACTTTTCAGAAGTCAGAGGTTGGAGGCTGTTATACAGCGACGGGTCGGTTTAATCCACGGAGGCACGTCTGGCAGACAGAACATGCAGACGTTCTCTCCTTCTTGAGTACTGTAAATCCCTAAAGGATGGATGCGGTAGCAGCTCGTGGCACACATCCCCATACCCCCGTTTCTGATGAGTTTAGCAGAGAAAAGGAGGAAAACATGGAGAACACGAAGGAGCATATGTGGGAGAGATGAAATGAGGAGGTCAAGAAAGTAGCAGAGAAGCTGGAAAGCAGAGAAGTGAAGGAATGCAAGTCTGAGAAGAAATTCTGATTATGACGGGGGAGCTGAGCAAAGAGGAGTGAACGTTTTGACTGTTTACCAGGATACTCATTGCTGTCCAGGTCTTGGCCTCCTCTCAGAGTGAATCCATATCCAGACAAGCCACCGCTGGGGGGGCGTGCAGCTCGAAGCTCTTGGCTCAGTGTCAGACCTTGCGTGGATACGTCTCGGTGACCGTTAAAGATCAACACTCTGCCTCCACGGTCCTCTCCTCCGAACGGACAGCCCACTGCCACGTCTGAGGGGTGACACACACAAACACACACGTATGGTTTCAACATCAACAGGGTTAGGGGTCCCGCTGAGACAGAAGCCAAGGAAAACTTTCAGGTTGAAGAAAAAGAAAGAGGAAATACGGAAAAGAGCTTGACCTGTTTAAACCCGAGGAATGGTCATTTACTTATCGTCATAAAAATTTGCTGAACTTATGTTTTAGTCTTTATTCGAGCCCATCTCTCCTTATCTGTCCAGATGCACATCGTGCTGCTCTGTGGTGATCAAACGTGTTTCAGTCTCAGCGTTTCATGGAAAGTTTTTGGCCAAAATTGCAACAGGCCCTTCAATACAACAAAGTTAAGTCAGATCATTTGGACAGCTTCTTTTGTTGTGTTATTGTTGAGAGGTTGCGTCCTTCATCCAAAGGACTTCATCAGTCCATGGAGCCACAACAAACCCAGTCCCACAAGCAGCACACTCACATAATGGACCAACCAGTTTGATGGTGATAAGATGGTTTCTGGAGTCTGCCCTCTCCTCTGTCGATTCCTCTGAGGCAGCCATGGCCAAAGTGATTCAGAACATCAAAGTTCATGCTCAATAATCCAGGAAGAAAATCCAGAAAAGTTCAATCAGGTCATCTTGGAAGGACTTCAGCAAACTGGTTGGTCCACTATGTGAGTGTGCTGCTTGTGGGACTGAAAGTTGTGGCTCTTTGTAGGGATGCACTGATGTAATGTTTCAACAAAATAAATAAATAAATTAAATAAAATAAAGAAACTGTCCAGAAGACCTGAATTTGTTGGATTTTTGACCTGAATTGTTGAGCATGAACTTTGATGAAGTCCTTTAATAATTCCTTCAGACACTCAGACATGTCATTAAGACTCGAAATATTTATACACTAATGCACTTTTAGAGTTTCTAATATTCAAGCAAACATGGCTGAGTTATTCATGGATATGAGCTTGAAGTGCAGCCTCTTAGCTTTAATGGCTGTAGAAGGGCATTTAATTTGAGACAAAGGTTTAGTGTTAATGCAGGCCTTAAATAAAATGTTAATTTTAAAACCTTTCGTAAGCTCGGACTCTCTGAAGCGTGTGACCCACGGACATCACAGAAGAATGCACTTCCTCCTTTGTGATGCGTTGCCAGACCTCAGATGTTTTCATTTGTTGCTTTTTCAGTTTGTGGCTCTGTGTTTATTCTTTTGTTCATCATGTGAAATGCAGCTCAGTCTGTTGATTGATTTCATCATTAGAAGATGTGTTTTTTTTTTTTTTTGTCTTTTCCTCCTGCACTGATTTACAGTAGGTCAGTCTACATTAGTCTTTATGACTCTGTGCCACTGGACACCATGCATGCCAGCGCTGCAAACAGAACACATGGTGAACAGATGATGCTGGTTCAGATCACGAGCTGGTCCGACTTATTTATTTATTTTTACCCATTATTCTGGCACAAACTGAGCTCGTTCTCATCCATCTAAGCAAGAGCTGTTTCCGAACTTGTTCAGATTTTTATACATTTTGTTTAGTTTTGTTTGTTTATTAAGTATGATTTGTTTTCTATGATGAATTTGTCTATGCGATAAACTTTGATTATAATCGGTCTGTCTCTGGGAAAGTCTCTTCTTTTGGCTAAATGTTGTTTTGTGGAACACAGAAAGGATTGAACACTAGTTAGCCACTGCTGTTTTACACAGATGTTGAAGAGTTCTAATTAACTTAGAATGTGTTAATGCAGGGGTGGGCAACTATTTTTTCCAATGGGCCAAATCAAAAATATTTAAAGCAATAGAAGGGCTGCTTAGAGAATTGCAAAAATACATTTTTATTGATGCAAAATCAAAAAAAAAAAAAAGTTTTGAGGGTTTTTTCTTGTTGTAGCATAGTTAGCATGCTCAATAAAAAATATGTTCCCAAATACAACGTAGAAATATAAGACATACTTTCTGTAAAATGGCTCTTCTGACAAGATATTTGCCTAAATACGGGGTAAAAACATTATATATTTGAGTTTTGGAGTCGTTAAGGTTCAGTCTAGTTCTAGAAACACACCATAAAAAAGAACCTTATTCTAAATGTTTTTATGCATTGAGCCAAGATGTTTAATTTAAACTTCCTTAAGTTTCATTCATAAACGTTTTGATCAACTTTAAAAAAGTTGTTTTCTTTCCAATGAAGAGTTTTGGGGGCCGGATGGAGATTGTCCAAGGGCCAGAAGCTGTACGTTGCTCACGTCTGTGTTTGAGTCGATCTGATTATTGATATTGGATCTTCAATTGCCCTAAAAACCTTTAATCATACTCTTTAATCATGATGTAGAGTCTAACTGTAAATATCAAACTGTCCAGTTTATGTGACGCTGTTTTCAAGTGAAACTGGAACAAGTCTGTTGCTCTTTAGTGGTCGGTCCACATGACAAGAACGATGGGATTCTGTGACACTGAAACTTTTTAAAACTAAGTCTCAAAGTGGAAGTTTTTTGAAACTTCGGACATTGTTTCGCAAGTCACCTGCAAGCAGAAGCGTTAGCACATGCACACTATGGTTATTAGTTGTAGTCAACAGTTGCACATGCACAAGTAAACTAACAACATTAACAATGGCAGAGTACTGTTAAAATAAACCTCAGCAACAACAGCTTGTGTCCTGGTGTGGACACTACAGTGGGTTCAACATCTTTTAGGGTCTCGTCTAAACAGAAATTGTGATCACAGCATCATCATCATCAGCATCAGAAAACCTGTAATGTTTTCAGAAGATCATTCACATAAACTGGGCTTTAGATTTTGTTAACTTAAGAAGAATGCAGCAAAATCTCACAGAATTATTTGCGTTTGAGTCTATCATCCAATTAAATTTAAAATATTAGAAAATAAGATGTATTAAATTAGTAAAGTTTTTAAACTTTCATTTATGTGTAAACTCACTTTGGTCTTGGTTCTCCTTGGATTAGCCCAGGTGTTTGCAACCTGTGGCTGTGGAGCCACATACAGTTCTTTGGTCCCTCTGCAGCGTCTCTTACACGTTTTGACCATAACTACCAGTAACATAAAATTGATTTGTACTGGTTGTTGTACCAAACAACAAGAAGAAGGGTTTGTTTTAGCAGTTCTTCTGTGATTTATTTGGTCAATAAGTGAGTACTAGTACTAATACAAGGAGTAAAACATACTCACTTGAACTTTACTCTTTATTTCTTCAAAGTAGAATAATTAATTTTTCCACAATTAAAAAAAAAAATCACATAGGACTGTATAGTTCATTGTTTTATTAATAATAAAAATAGGTAAAAACTATACTGAATTATTGAGCATGAACCTTGATAAAAACCATACTATGTTTTTTTCCTCTTTACAAGACAATACTACTGGACAATAATTTGATATTGATATAAATCATAATATACTTTTATTCAATAACAGTGATATGAGTTTTAAGCACATTTTCGATATTTTGATAGGATTACAGCGTTTCACTGACGCATTTTTTTTCTGTTCAGGTTGAAGCTTCAGTTTCAACCCAGAAAGAAAAAGGTGTGATACAACTACGTAAGTGCGTGGTGACGTAGATGTTACGCAGAGCTCGAGTCCAGAAGAAGTCAGTGGTAGCAGGCTAAGCTAATCTCCAACGCGCGTTAAGTTTTCGCTTCAAAATGAGTGCCCATGACCGTCAGAATGTGACTGAACAAGCTTTCACAAGCGAAGAGAAAGCAGATGACACAACTGATAAGAGAGGAAAGACTAATTCGGTGGTGAGGAAGTGGTTCGGATTTCTAAGATCTGATAAACTTCAGGTTTTAGTGGCTGCAAAATGTGACGGAGAGTCGTTCCAATTAGCGGTGGGAACACATCTAACTTGTCCCACTTGATAGAATATGCTGAGAGTTAGAAGATGAAGCACAATACAAGTCTGAACCAACGTGTCCCTGAAACACCAACCCCAGCTGTATGGGTTAGGTTATATTCTTGTTTAAACTTAAAACTATTAATACTGACAAAACTGAGAGTTCCATGTTTATTTGACGGAGATTTCAAATTTCTTTGAAGGCTAAATACAAATAAAAGGTGAACATTAATTTATTTGTACAGTTTGTACAGTTTTTCTGAGGCTTTTATATTGTTTATATCGAAATAAAAATGATATCATTATCGACCAAAATTAAAAATATATATTTTGATAAAAGTTTTGGCCATATTGTCCAGCTCTACAATAATTTGGTGTTTTATTGTGCCCTAAAATCTAAAAATATCAATAAATGATCAAATTATTACATATTTTAGTTTTATAATGTCACCACTACTGGTCAGAAAAGCTCCCTCCAACAAACCTAAAGTGGTCCACGGGCCACTAGTTGCTAATCCCAGTTGTAGCAGGTTTTGTGGCTCTGGCCACGTTTAATTTATGAATGAAGTGGCAGAAATGGCTCTTTTGATTGTAAAGGTTGCAGACCATTGAGCTAGCCAATAGCTCGTCGACCCAGTCAGAATTAAACTATTTCTACAAACTGATGTCATTCAAAGAGCCATCTATACCAAATAATATAGTAATTAATTAGACATTATCAGATCAAAAGATTGAGACTATCCCTTTAAACAATATGTAACTTGAATTTGCTCACAAAGTTTTGACCAAACTGTTAGTCAGGAAAAAAAGCAGCTACATGAGGCCAGAAATACAGAAGGTGACACACAGTACTGCAGACACCTGTCTGAATAGGAACAAGCCTATTTTTAGTTTTTACATTGAAATGTTAATTTATACTCTTAAAGCTCTAAGTGCCCACGGATTGCTCTGTCCGGCATCTAAATACCCATCCGTACTGTAACTGTCCAAAATACCTCAGGACATCCTGTTTGTCTCCAGACCCCCTCTCTCCCAGCCTAAACAACTGGTTCCACATGAAGCAGATTGTGGGGTAGAGAGGATAAATGCAACCATGTGTGCATGCAAGTGTATAAATGAACCTATGTGTGTCCGTGTGTGCAAGTGAGACTGTGTGTCTATGTGTGAGTGT